ATGTACTATATACTACATATAGAATGCACTGCAACAATAGCTTTACAATTATCCCCTGCTAACATGAATAGGTTAAATCATGATCCATAATATGTAGTTGTACTATGGATCATTTAAAGTCCCCTGTCCCTTTAAGAAAAAGTATCTGTAATTGGTATTGGCAAGGACATGAGGGGTAGTACTTGTACTTGGGCCTGAAAAAGTGGCATCGGGACATCCTTAATAATTAATAATAATATATAAAAAAAATATGCATTTCTTTAGTATTTGTATTCAAGCCTGGAAAGCATTGCAATTGTGATCACTCAATGGGTTCTGCACATTCTCTGCCAGGTAGAGCCCGTACTGAGTTTCAGTTAGGAGAAATGGGGGGGAAGGACGCTGAGCTGGACTTCAAACTGCATTAAATCACCTCATACAGCGTCCAGCCATCCTCCCTCTAGGGAGACGCGAGAATATGGGCAACTCTACCTAGAGCGATGACGGCTGGACACCATATGAGGCGATTTAATTAGAGCTGCAGCTAACGATTATTTTCAAAATCGATTAGTTAGCCGATTTCGGCGCACAGCGTGTGGAGCTGTGAACAGGGCCAACTGATCGGAAGCCGATTAATCGATTATTGAAAAAGTTGACAACTTTTTCAATAATCGATTATAATCGATTATGTCGATTAGTTGTTGCAGCCCTAGATTTAATGCAATTTGAAGTCCAGCCGTCCTTCCCACCCATCTCCCCTAACTGAAATGCCATACCTCCGTATAAGCTCTGCCTGGGAGAGAGTGTGCAGAAGCCTGATCTTTGCAGCTCTGATCAAGTGATCACAATTGCAATGCTTTCCAGGCTTGAATGCAAATAATAAAGAAATGCATTTTTTAAATATAATATTAATTATGCCTTTCTTTAATTTTTGCAAAAGGTGAACTTCTCCTTCAACATAATTTTAAGCCCTATATGCATCACATAGGGCGTTCTCTCTTTTTTTTTTTTTTTAAAAGAAAAACCCCCATTAACTTCCAGGCCTGTAATTTGGGATGTTT